TTGCTGCCTGGGCAAGTTTCCGAGTCACTTTAAAACCCGAAATGTAAAGTGCAAGGACGACTTCTGCCGCCCTCCACAACTTGGCATTTATGCTGATGTGGGGCCACGCCCCCTTTCGCGCCCTCTCAGGCGGCTGCTTGTCATTCAGCTCCTCAAAACAGCACAAACAACGGCAGCAATTTCCATATTTGTTTACAAATACAATGTACAAGAAGCACACATGGAAAAAAGTACTGGGACGGGGTCTCTCTTCATTGAAAGTTTAAATTCTTCTTTTGTTATTAATATTTTACACAAAAAATACAGACGTGCGAGAGAGAGAGAGAGATTGAGAGAGAGGGAAAAAGGAAAACCAGCGAGTTAGGAAAAGTTTTCATATTTGCGAGGGACGGCCCCAAAAAGTATGCTGTAAAACACAAATTTGATTTAGAGCAGGCATTTCCTTTATTTCAGATTACTATTCAAGCAGCCCTCGTCGTCACGCAGCTGTCTTTGGGGAAAGCCTCGCTTTTCCCACTTTCCCACTTTTCCACTTTCCCACTTCCCCACTTTTCCAGCGACTGCAGCAAAGTTATGCATGTCTGTGGGTGTTTTCCAAAGTATCATTGCGAGTGTGTGCGAGTGCTGGTATTTACATGCTTACATTTCATACGAGCGAAAGAAAATATTTGCAGTCATATGTGTGTTCCTTTTTTCGCCCAGCTAAACTTTTGTGTGTACTTTGTTTGGTTTTCTTTTCCTTGCTTTTCACTCGCTCGTCTCCCCCTCCCTCCGCTGACTTACAGTGCAAGTAATATTTAAGATTTGCATATCAGGGGCACCAGAATCTGTGGAAAGTAAGAAAATCCAGCTTCAAGTCGCTGACCACAGAAAGTCAAGCCATTTGAGTCAGTGAAAAATCTTAATTTGTTGTTAAGTTAAGAGAGTTTCACCATTTCCTCATTGCAATAACACTATGACAATAGTTTGCTATCAAAAAGGTAACTATGTAGAAGTGGATGGGAAAGGTTACAAAAGCTTTCATTGTTTAAGCAATTTTGTCGAGCTTTAACCTTTCTTCGGGCGTGTTCCTCTGTGTAAAGACCCATTTGCCGAAGCCCAAGTGCAAATGCCAGGAAAACTTGGCCCAGGGCTGTCAGACAGGCCAAAAAACGCAAAGACTATGCACAAATATTTAACAGCATTAAACAGAAAGGACGAAGGACACACGACTAACCCTCGAAGGCATCGATTCTACACGCTTTATTTACATGTCATGCATATTTAAGTTGATTTCCATTTATGTTTCAATTTATTGTGTGTGGGGTCTTCTACCCCGAAAATGCCGCCCACATCTATTTGCACTGGCAGTCCGGCTAATAAAATTTGCAATGCATGCGACGCTTGCATATGAAATACAATTAACAAATTGCCGGCATGGATCCCGAAAAGAGCAGGGCAAAAAGAGCCATAAACGAATATTTGCCGTCTAAGCCCCTAGCCTCTCCCCACCGCTTGTCATCCCTCAAGCCGAAAATATTGCATTCGAAATCAATAAAATGTGCACTGGCAGCTCACCCGAAATGGAAAATTGCAAATGGCAGGAAATGAAATGAAATAAAGTGGGGCGGCAGTTAGGGAGGGGAAAACTCAATGTGGGGCGGCAGTACGTGCGAGTTCAGTTACCTGAACGGACTGGGAAATGCTGGGAAATTCAGCGAAACCCTGCGGATATTGGTGCAAGTGCTGCCAAGCCGGAGAACCGGCAAGGAGCCCACAATGGAGCATTCGAGGGCCGGGCAAGTGGCAAAGTCAAGTTCGACAAGCGGGGTCAGGTTGATCGATTTGGGGATTAGGGTTGCACATGTGGGCGAAAATTGGACAGGACATTCGACTCCACGGTGTTAAGTGCAAGGCAGCACACTGCAGTGCGATGCATTTGGGCATTATCAAGAATATTTCAAGCACTATATATCCAAGTATATTTCAAGACTTGTGGTACAATCTTGCCTAATATATTTCATGCATTTAACTTGACTAAATAAATGTTTTAATTAGCGCTGTTAGACTCTCTTTAAATGATTTATAACCGCGCTGGATGAGCAGCCAAATTCCTAAGCAACTCAAAAGGCATTGACGCCAGCATTAAGAGGTGGAAATTCATTTACTCGCAAATCTTCTGCACACTTTATTGACTCGGTCACGTGAGCGGATTTTGTGAGTCACGTTTCGCTAGTTTGGCCACACTCTCTTGCCGGCTTTCGCCCATTTTCCATTTTCTTCTCGCGCACTTTTTATGGCCCAAATTTACCATTCAACTTTAATGATAAAAGTTCGCAGCGCTCTTTCGGCGGCTCTCTAAGCCATAAAAGACTTATTGCAGCGGCCTAACTAGGTGGTGGAGCGGGTGGTGCTAGACTGGGTGGTGCTAGGTGGGCGGTGCAGGGTGGGTGGTTCGGTGGCTTCTGTCCATGTGCATTGGGCAAGCCATTCGTTATGGGTCGAGCGTTTGGACGTTTTCGAAATTTATTACATTGCACCGACGAGTTTCGCGTGTTTCGCGTTTGCGCCTACACTTCACTTAGCACGATGCCGCCGAATCACCACCACCACCCAACCACCCAACCACCAATCACCCACCACCAACAATGTGCACCAGCCAAAGCTGCAGGTGAAGTGCAACTTTTTGCACCTAAGAAATTCTCCCGACCGGAATTTTCAGTAATAAGTTGGGAGGATGGTGTTGACAAGTCCCAAAAAGCGTGGCTCAAAACGTAAACATCGTGAACGACTCGTCGTCGATGTCGTCTGACTGGGTTTCCCCCTTCCATTTTCCCGCATTTTCTGGGTGCATTGACCCCCGTTTCTCTTCCACATGGAGCCGCTTAAAAAAACGTCGAAAACTGCACCCGACTAAATGATGGTGGTACGGAAAACTGGCTGAGTGGTCGGGAAATTGGGGGTCGGACAGAGCAGTATCCAGGGCTCTTCACTTTTAAAGATTTATGTTCAACATTTCCATCGTTTTTAGCTTTGAATTGCCCAAGCATTACCCTCGCTGCAGACTTGGCTTTACAAACGGGGGAATTTATTGGGCGGCTATATAAAATATCAACATCCAAGTAATTTAAACTTTTGAGTTGCATCATCAAATACTGAATATTACTATAGAGACTATGATTTAAGATTATGATGAAATGAAATGAATGGAAGCTAGAGCATATTTTGTGCGACTAGGCTGCTGTGCGCTACTTATTACGCCTGCAGTTTTGTCGGTTCTTAGTCAAAATAGGCGCCTGCCCCGGCATTTTCCATTTTCCATTTTCCAAACGCTTTTCATGTGCGTTCAGACGCAAAAGTCAAAATGTTTGGTTCAATGAACGCTGAGAGTCCGGCGCTTTAAATCTCTTTAAGGACACCGCCAACGGGCCGGCTGAGTGATAAATCTTTATCACTTATTCGGGGATAAGTCGCTTCGCTGCTGGCCAACTTGATTAATTGCCGCAAATAAACGAGGCTTCAAGGATGGATGATTGGCAAACTGCTCGATGCGGCCGCAAATCAAAAATACATAAGACTCAGATTCCTACCTCCTTTCTGGCTTTTCTGACAACTTTCGTCACGTAGCGTCCATCAGGCGGAAATAATTTATCAAAACATGGAGGGAAGGCGAGGCGGCTTATATTAAATAATGATTTGATGGCGGGAGAGACCCTGGCCCCAACCCCACATAATTAGACGATGGGTCCTATTCCGGGACTAATTAAAATGCCCGCCGCTGAACAACAGAAAAATTATAAATCACTTCTTGTATTTGATTCTAGTTCCATTATGCAAATGTTGACGGCGCGCAAACAAGCTGGGAAAATGGCATAAACCAATTATGGGAAAGTGCGGGCGAGCTTTTCTCATCGAGTGTCAAAGGGATTTGCTCTGTTAGCTCCAAGTTCCAAGTTCCAAGTTCCAAGTTGCGAGTTCCAAGTTTCAAGGGTCAAATGGCAACACTTTTTAATTAACTTGGCTGGAAGCAGCCGTACACAGACTTCTAGAGGGGATACAAAAAAGGGAACAAAAATCCCAAGGAAATTATAATTTTCCCCGGCTTTCGAGGGGATGAACAACTTATGGAAATAATTGCCCAAAATTATGCAAATGCGGGGAAGTGGGGTGAATGTTTTCCCATTGTCATTATTCCACTTGATTGTTTACATTATTTCCCGCACTGATGCCGTTTAATTTCATCTAATGGCAAAAGGCTTTTCGAGCTTTCAATGAGTTGACTTGAATGCTTTCCTTAAGTCAAATTACACAATAATAGTTTAAAGAACCAAACTTCAGAGTTATATTTATATCTTTGGGTTATTTATTGCACACAAAATTGGTTCATTTATGTTTGTTATACTTAGATGTTATCTCTTCAAATCGTAATCATTAGATTGTTTTAAAAAATCACTTTTTTGCTGCTTTATTAAATTTTTTTACAATGAATACCTGATTTGTTGAAAATCTTGAACTACTATTTACTTTTCAAATATACAACACACGAAAAGGTAAATCGCAACCATGTAACCTGTATATTACTTTTGAAAATTATTAACAATTAACAAATTAGTAAACCAATACTACCAGAAGTCAAATTGTTAAATTTTCCGATCAGCTGAGATCAAAATCAGCTTTCAAAAAATCACGATACCTCATAGCATAAACGTAGTAATAGTCGCGTAACTCGACTTTAGCGTTTATATTTTTTTGTTAATATGGCATTTTATTCCATGCTTAAATGCTAACAACTTCCCTAATCTCATTATCCTGCTCTTCCATTTTTTTGTCATTGCGCACATTTTCCGTAATCTAAGCGGCACTTTTAGAGACATTTTCCCAGATTTTTCCCGGCAGCTCACTCTTTGATAAATACACTCACGTAGCTGGTTGGTGAAACGTCAAAGTCAATAAGCACAAAAAAATTCGAAGGCAGTTGGGTTTTTCGCTCCCTTTACGCTCCCGAACCATTACAAAGTACAATCGGGCGGATCAGACAGACGACGACATCGAAATCGAAGCGTGGCTACAACAACTAGGTGAGTGGCGGCTTTTCCGCGCACTGGTACGCTTTTCCACCTGCTTTTCCACCTGCCCAAAGCACACAAGTACCCGTACCCGTACCAAAAACACACACTCGCATTACGCGCAACTTTTTAAAAGTCAGGCAGAAAAATGTTTTTTAAACGCTAAATTACTTTTGAATGGCAGGTGGGCGTGGCGGCGCCTCGTCATGTGGGCGTGTCGCAGCGCCAGCGTCACAATTTAATTTTCTGCTCCCTCATTTGCCCTCCCCTCCCCTCGCCCAGCCGCCCGACCGCCCGACCGACCGACCGCCCGACGCTTTCCCACCGCTTTTCCGCGACAACAACAAGCGCTTTGTCACAAGAGGGGCGCTTTTTTCGTGTAACGTCTGAAGAGCGGAAATGCTTATCCCAACACTTGAGCGTCACGTGCTGCCGCAGTCGCTGCTCTGCCGAAACCGACGCTCGGATACCCTACCTGAATGTAATATGCGAATAGGAGGCGGGCAAAGGTAGTGGCAATGTAGTGGTTACAGGTAATTAGTCACTGGTTAGTGACTAATCCTAAGAAATGGCAACTTTTTTTAAAACCTCTAAGAAGTATGAGGTATTGAATTGAAGAATCGGCATAGCAAAGTTTATATAGACTAAAAAGTTATATTGTATTATATATTATATACAAGTTTTATTTTATAAAAACGTTTATATAGATAGATAGATTTATAGATAGATTGATGTATGTTTATATATAAAAGGCGTACTTCGCCGGAGAATCGATATCAAAATATGAACAGTATTTATATTTTATATTTAAATTTTAATATATCATATATATTTTAACACCTTCGTTGTTTGGTAATGCTGGGGCTTGAAAATTTAACGCCCATTTTTGCAAAGCTTGAAATACCATCGAATACCAATTAGATAATATATAAATGTGCATTTTCCCATCGACTTAAGCTCTGTCCAGAAAGCGGTAGTCTCTACATATCTAGAATTCGACTCTATTAAAATGTGTATCTCGCATTTAGGGAGGATCTGCAAATCTTTGGATGGCCTACCCTCTCCCACAGTCGCTGGTGCCATTTTAATTCCTCGCTTTCGGCAGTTAGGGTATTTAAATCTGTCCGGCCTCAGACTTGCAAAACTGTGCCACGCAGATACTTTCCCGCGCAGAAAGTGCCTAAGGTCGTTGTCGTTGTCGCTGGAAAAGTGGAAAAGCGAGGAAAAGCGAGGAAAAGCGAGAGACAGGTGGGGAGGATGGGGCTGGGCAGGAGCTTGGTGGCTGGTGGCTGGTGAAAACACCCTGTAGGTGTTTTGAATGTTTAGCTCAAGTGGCTTTTTAAAACACATTCTATGCTAATTAAGGGCCCGGGCTTGGGCCTAAATGAGTTGTCGTTGTCGTTGTCGTTGTCGTTGACGTTGACGTTGCCTGTCGCCGTTGTTCGCATTTGATAAGCCAAGATTGTTGCCAGCCAATGTAATCAATGGAGGGCGGCGGAAGGAAGAACCACCATCATTCCAACATACCAAGCCATCGTCATCATCGCTCACTGCGTAATCCTCGAGGAGCGGTGGCGAAGTCGCAAACCCCATTTAATTAACGAATTAACAAAGCCAGAAGTTTCTGTGGTTTTTAAGTGATTTCGGGTCGCCCGAAGGCAAACATTTTGCGGCCTTGTTATGGCATAATTGAATTATTGCCATATGAAAAAACAAAATATGGGCTAAGACCCCAGTCGAAACGCCGAACCCAAAGACCCAAAAACTCAAACCCAACCGGCAGCCAAAAAAAAAGGGAAGTCGACGGCAAAGTTTCTTGTTCGCTTTCTTATTTTTCCTTCACATCTTAGGCTAAATAAATCAAAAGTCTTTTGGGCGCTTACCAAAAAAATATGTAAGGAAACGGAAAAATACGAGGAAAAGCCAAAGAGTCGGCGCCAAATTGAATTAGGGCTTTAATTGCGAAATTTGTTGGTAAACTCCTATAGGCGCACTAATGCAGTTCACCCAGAATTACTTACATTTATGTCGGTCTGGGAATTCTAATCGCCGACCCTTTTCCTAAACACCCATACCTATTTGGAAATCTTATGCCGGGTCATTGCTGTCAAGCTTCAATACATTTTTATTCTCGATAGGAGCAGGAGCTAGAAACCAGGAGCTAAATTTTTTCTAAAATTTTCAAATCTCTTCCAACTTGTAGCCATGTTTATGCAACTGGTCATCCTGGGGATTCTTTTGTGGGCGTCCTTCTTTTGGCTGCAGTGCCGCTACCTGGATGTCCTGGAAATCCTTTTCGCCTGGATTGCCGGTCAGTTGGCGAAAACTCGCAGGAGGCGAGCTCGCGAAGAGCGATGCCGCCTGGGCCAAAAGTGGGCGTTCGGAAATGGCCAAGGGAGGAAGAGGAGGAACAAGAAGGTCAAGAAGGTCAAGAAGCTTGAGGACAACGCATCCGATTCCGATGATAAGCACCAGGACCGCAAGAAGAGTGATGCCATGAAGAAGCTGCTCTCACCGCCGATCAAGAATCGCCTCAATATCCGAGTGGAGCAGTGCTGCGACTTGATAGCCGCCGGCTTGGGCTTGGTGCTCGAGGACGACGTGACCCAGAGGTTCGTGGCCCCTCCACCGCCGTCTGGGGAATGGAACCTGCTGACCCGCAACCTCCGCCAGAGGGACCGCTACCTCAACTGGCGCTTAAGGATGGCCTGGCTGCTGGGCTGGGTAGCCCGCTACGGACTGCTGTTGCCCGTCCGGACCGTTGCCTGCTGGCTGTGCCTGTTCATGATCAGTGGAGTCTCAATGCTGCTGGGCCACCTACCCGACTGGTGCTTCAAGAAGAAGCTGGTAGAGCTGGTGCTGCGGCAGTGCTTCTGCATCACGGCCGGCTGCCTGCCGATGATCCGCAGATTCCACAACAAGGAGTTCCGGCCAACCAAGGGCATCTGTGTGTGCAATCACACGAGTCCTTTGGACGTCCTGGTGCTGATGAGCGATGCCAACTACTCGCTGACGGGCCAGGTCCACACCGGCATCCTGGGCGTCTTGCAGCGCGCCCTCTCGAGGGTCTCCCACCACATGTGGTTCGACCGCAAAGAACTGGCCGATCGTAAGGCACTGGGTCTGGTGCTCCGCCTGCACTGCTCCATGAAGGATCGGCCGCCGGTGCTGCTCTTCCCCGAGGGCACTTGCATTAACAACACCGCCGTCATGCAGTTCAAAAAGGGTAGCTTCGCGGTCAGCGATATCGTTTATCCAGTGGCCATTCGATACGATCGCCGGTTCGGGGAGGCCTACTGGGACAGCAGCCGCTACTCGATGCTCAGATACATGCTGATGGTGGTCAGCTCGTGGTGTATTTGCTGCGATGTCTGGTACATGCCGCCCCTCAGCCGACGCCAGGATGAGTCGCCAGTGGAGTTTTCGAATCGCGTGAAGGCCGCCATCGCCGACCAGGCGAAAATCGATAATCTGCCCTGGGACGGAAACCTGAAGCGCTGGAGTCCCGTGAGAGACTGGCAGTAGTTTAGCCCCAGCTTAGATCCTACTTGCATCCATAGATCCCAAGGTAAATACCTTAGCTATTTCATGTCACAGTTTTGTCACCGTCACCCCGCACACTCTTTGCTCCCGAGTATATTGTATGATACTTTTATAATGATTAGTAAATCGATCGATATATTTTAGAGAGCAAAATAACGATTGCCGCGAATTCTTCAGCAGCTGATCCCGATGAGCAGAAGGGCAGACAGACAGTATGCCAATTATTCCAATTCCTATAAAAATAGATTTCTCTAGTCTCCAATATTGCAATGCGTGAAACAAGAATATTTAATGACTAAACAGTATGCTTAAACCACTTTTAGCAAGTTATTAAGTCGGTGGTCCTTAGGACCTGACACCATACGAGTATAAGCACTAATTAGATATGATTTAATAAACCTCTCATGACGTATGATTCTAGTCCCCATTTCTGGGACTCTACCGGATGGTGACCTTATGCATAGCGAGGACCTACCGTTTCGGCTGGACAATCTTTCTTTCTCCGTGGCGAATCGAGGCGTTTGGGCCGTACCGCCCGAGGAGGGCGCTCTGTGACTGGGAAACGCCGCCGGCGGCGGAAGCGGAGGCCGCGGTGATCGCCGCAAGGCCGCTGCGCAACGAGGTGCAGGTGGCTAGATCCCGGGGGTGGGCTAGCCCGTAGGCGCCGAAGGCCGACTGCGAGTGGACCGCATAGTCGAGGCCGGGTAGCTCCAAGGAGGCGATCGGGTGAATGCGGGTCAGTGAAAGCGTGCTTTCGAGCACGGTGCTCAGGAGCGGGGCGCTGCGCAGGGATCTCAGGCTGCCGCGGCGCGTGAGCGTGTCCGGCTTATACATCCGGGGTTGGGGGGGCCGGCCGACCCCCCGCCGCCGCCTGCCGTCCGCCTAAATGCTTGTCACCTCCTCTGCTCCGGTTCCTAATTGCCGTAAACCGTCGGTTAGTCCGGCGTGCGGGTCATTCGCAGCAGTCGCTTTATGACCAATTACGCTGTTTAGTGTGCAAAACGCGCTGGTCACGCAACTATTTAGTCGTCGTCTCGTGCTCCCTGGAGTGCTTGCTTGCTTGCTTACTTGCTTGCTGCTAACTTGCTTGCTTGCTTACTTGCTTGCTGCTAACTTGCTTGCTTGCTTACTTGCTTACTTGCTTACTTGCTTACTTGCTTACTTGCTTACTTGCTTACTTGCTTACTTGCTTACTTGCTTACTTGCTTACTTGCTTTCTTGCTTTCTTGCTTTCTTGCTTACTAGCTTACTTGCTTCCTAGCTTGCTGCTAACTTGCTTACTTGCTTTCTTGCTTTCTTGCTTACTAGCTTACTTGCTTGCTTGCTTACTTGCTTACTTGCTTACTTGCTTACTTGCTTACTTGCTTACTTGCTTACTTGCTTACTTGCTTACTTGCTTACTTGCTTACTGCTAACTTGCTTACTTGCTTGCTTGCTTGCTTGCTTACTTGCTTACTTGCTTACTTGCTTACTTGCTTACTTGCTTACTTGCTTACTTGCTTACTTGCTTTCTTGCTTGCTAGCTTACTTGCTTACTTGCATACTTGCTTACTAGCTTGCTGATAACTTGCTTACTTTCTTACTTGCTTACTTGCTTACTAGCTTGCTGCTAACTTGCTCTTCTGCCATGCTGCTTTGCGCTCACTTCCTTATCGCTTTCTTGACCCTTTGATTTTTGCTTTGCTGCTTTGCTTTTTCTTGCTTACTAACTTGCTTTGTCTGCTTGCTCTTCTGTCTGCTGCTTTCTTGCTTTGCTTTCCTGACTTTTCTGCTTTTTCTGGATCCTGCTTTCTGCTGCTGGTTCTGCCAACCCGTTCGCTTTCCAGCTTCTTAAAGTTTCTTTTGCTAGGCTATGTGCTTACGTGCTTTTGCTTTGCTCGTGCTTCGCAGCTCTTGTTAGCCTACGAACTCTTCTTGGCTCTACTGAACTGAACTTTAGCTTTCTTATTTGTTTTGACTATTACACTACCTTTTTGCCCTGCTACCCTTGCTGCTGTTTTCAGCTTTCAATACTTTTGCTTGCTCGCTTCACAGCTGTGTCTCCGCTTATGCTTATGCGTTTGCTTTGCTTTGCTTTGTCTCCCTTACACTTGCGTGCTTTCTCTCTGCTTGCCTGATTTCATGCACTCCAGCTTGCCTTATTTCCTGCTCGCCTGCGTGCCAGCGTTTTGTTGGCACAAGTGCTCGTACAAATTGCTCGTCGCCTTGTTGCTTTTGCTGCTGCTCGTGTCGCCAGTTGCCGCTTTGCTTTGGCTGCTTTGCATACAAGATTTGATTTGTCAGATTGCAGATTGCCATTGCGATAGGGAATGGACACGCGGGAGTTTCCCTGCGGGATTGCGCCCGACTAAACGAATATGCTGAGTGGGTGGGCAACTGGGTGGTGGGTGGCCTAAGTGCTTAACTAATTGATGGATGACGAGTGCAACTCGCCCTCCGACGCGCCACATTTGCAACGAGTGCATTCGCGGCAGCTGTCGGCTAAGTGATTCATCGAAAGCAACTCTGATTAATGGCACTTGACACTAGTCGCTAATCACTATGGGCTATTCAGTAATCAGCTCGACGCGCTAATGAGTTATTCACTGAGATCCCAAAATCACTTACTTGTTGGGACATGGTCTAGTTCCGAGTTCCTACAGTGTATATTTCATGGCAATGAATTTGTGTTCCTTACCACTTACAATTTAATCTTTTGAAATGTACGTCTTACGTATTTTTGTCCTTCAAACGCAGTATGTAAAAATTCGTCTATATTTAAAACCAATTCTGGCAGCTAATCAACAGGTAAAACCTATTACTTGAATTTCTCACGACAACTTCATAATGAATAGTGCTTAATCACGAAACTGTTCTGGATAACGTGTTTAGTTCCAATTAATAATTACCTCATCAAGATTACTTGGAAGTGGTTAACACGTTACAGCAAAAGTAACTGCAAATCCTAATCTCAAATAAGCAAAATAGAATTGATTTTGACAAAGCTCATTGTGTGTGAGATCCGTAAAATTTATGAAAACTATGATGGTTTACACAATGAGCAAACATAGCTATCAATGTTTGGAATATGAATTACACATTCCTAAAGATCTCCTTAAGCGTAAGACGTGCCCTTCCTTCAAACTATTGAATGTTTATCATGCGTCAAAATTGTTTGTCTTATATGTATGAATACTAGGTTTTGACAAAAGATTGTATTTACAGTTCACTTATAACTAATAGTGCTTAAAATGCATATCGAAGTTCCGCGAAAACGAAGACTCTACCTCGGTTGCCTAAAGGTATGCGATACGTTTAGACCTCGAAATGGGAGTTTTCCAATTCAACGGACACTTCCGAATAGAAAGGATAAATAGATAGTATGATAATGATTTAAGCTAGACTCACTTGTGTCAAATCTAAACGAACGATGATGAACGAACGTTGTTCTTGATAATGGCAATGTCATTGGCAGTGTTGGGGGCGTTATGCTGTTGTTGCTGTTGGTTTAGTGGATTTTCTTCTTGATTTCGTTGTAGTCGATCTTGAAGATTACCGGGTTTCTTTTGCGGGGCAGCCCCCGGCCGCCCTCTCACTTTCGGAGTTTCCCCACTCGATATTCCACGCCGCCTCTTTTTCCTTTGTCGATAAACACTGAACACTGCACTTTTGTAATTCGGTTTGTTTGGTTTTGGTTGTTAGTTTTTGGTTTTTTACTGGTATGAAACTAGTTTTGAGTATTTACAGTAATGTGCATGTCTTGATCGCTTGGTATTGTATTTCTGCTTTTAACTGATGATGTGGGGGACAACGATAACCGAGCACTGTGGCACGATTGATTTATTGAGTGGGTGACTGACTGACTGACTGACTGATTGACTGACTGACTGACTGACTGATAGAACCTACGTGTGACGCCGCAAAGAATCAAATGGGCAACCACTCCAGTCGGGTCTCGCGATCGCAATCCTTGCGCCCAGGGTTGTTCCTGACTTGTCCAGGGTTGCCAGCTCTTTCTCTGGCCATTAGCCACCGGGACCAATCCATGGCCTTCGTCCTGCGTCCTTCAGCGCCTTCACCTCCTTCTCAGCCCACCGGAATCCGGAAACCGAATCCGAATCCGAATCCGCTCACTCACCGCCGCTCGCACATTTGTCTTGCCCTCTCAGTCGCACTGTATGCCGTCTCACTTGCTCCTGTAGGCGTGCGCGGGCGTGGGGCAGCTGGAGCCGCGGCCCAAAAAAAAAAAACAAAATACTTTCAGCTGTCCTCATAGACACTCGACGATCTGAAAGCATAGAGACAAACGGAAGGATTTAGCAGAGGTATTTAAATTCTATTATTAGGTATGAAAACAACAGATTTCTTTAAATAATGCACAGATTCATGTTGTGCTTGTACAAATAAATAATAGTTATCCCATTCTTTGTACTGTCAGAGATGTCTTTACATATTTATAATATTGATTTTTGCTATGCGTTCGGACTAACCAAAGTTTCGTACAAATTGAACTTGAACTTTTATCGTCAATTTGTTAAGAATCAATTTCAGCTTACTTTCTGAAATTTTCTGTTCGTCATTTTGGAAACATTTTTCTATTCTATGGCATGGATTGATAATTCAGGAAATCTTTTTAGCGCTTTTACGATGGCGCAAATAATCAATAGATATGAAAATTTATAATCGCACTCCGGTTTTCGGTAACTTTTGCGTGACCTATCTAAAATCAGCTCCGTTGAAGAGGCGAAAAACGTTGCCAAATTCCTACAGATGCCGTCCACGTTTAGGTCATTGGGTGGACTTTTCCCCCCTTCCCGATCGCCACCGGCACGGATTTTCCGTCATTTTCCACTCAAGTTGTGGGCGTGGACCGCAGAATGTTTTAAGCCACTCAAATGCAGCTCCCTTCCATTTGCCCGCTTTTCCTGCGGGTCGAATAAAAGTGGGCGAGGAGAGGGAAATTTTGTGCCCAACAGCAAAAATAATGAAAGTATTTGCTTTGCTAAGCACAAAAATATGTCAAAGTAAATTTCTC